ACAGTTCATGACCGGGTGGGGTCAGTAGGGCCAGGCAACCAGGTCCTATGTGGTTCTCCCATCAGCAGGGGATGATAGCCAGGGGTAGCAGCGTGGTGAAGTATGGATGGAGCACCTTGAGGAACTGAAAGGATATGGGGAGAATGACGGGCCCTGCTCTGATAGGAAAGTCCACCTTGTACCCAGAATGGATGCAGAAGCGACTCTGAGGACAACTCAGTGGATTCATCTGCACAGCCAGCCACCCCTGGGTGTAGACATTTACTGAGCACATGGCTTCCCCAAGCAAAACTGAAGCTGCCCCGTGAAACCGTCCATATGGTATCTGGAGCATACTTTATGCCAAAAAGTTGTTCATGGCTGGGGCTGGAGAGATGGCTTAGCAGTAAAGAGTACAGGAATAAAATACTTTAAAAAATAATTCACTGTTGACGCTGGAGAGGGCTTGACAGTTAAGGCACTGGCTGCTCTTGCAGGGGACCCAGATTCAGTTCCCAGAACCCACATGGCAACTAACAACTGTTTGAAACTCCAGTTGCAGGGATCTGACGCCCTCTTCTGATCTCCGCAGGCATTGCACAATATGGGTACACTTAATACATAGACAACACACTCATACACATAAATAATAAATTTTTTTAATTATTCAGTTTACATTCAAATTTAAGTTAGAGCTTTTGCACTATGATTTTAGGCTGGCAAGTCTAATAAAAAATAAGAAAATATTGGTAATTGGTTGTCATGCTTTTGTAAAGCAATTTGTAAATTACTGCTTCGGAGAGTCAAATGACATTCATTAACCACACTAAATATGTTCCTTTCAAATTACTCAATGCCCTAAGAATCTTACAAGTGAAACATTATAAAAGAATGAAAGAGGGGCTGGAGAGATGGCTCAGCGGTTAAGAGCACTGACTTCTCCTGCAGAGGACCTGGGTTCGATTCCCAGCACCCACATGGTGGCTACAAACCGTCCTTAACTCCAGTTCCAGGGGAATCCAAAGCTCTCTTCTGACCTCCGTGGCATTGCACAACACAGGTGCACTCACGTACATGCAGGCAATACACTCATACACATAAAAATATAATACAATTTTATCCTTTAAGTTTTGTCCCATTTTAATATATATAGCATTTCATTACAGCTTTAACATACTCAGTAACAGTTTCCAGAGCAAAGATACATCTCTTTCAAAAGTGGCTATAAAATTTTTAGGTTTGCTGTTGAAATAATACAGTTATACAATATTGAACTCAGTATAAGCCCTGGAAGACATAACATTGAATGAGTTTTTAACCTTTAAAAAAATCTCCATTTCATTTTAAAATATACTGTTTCTTACAGAAAGACTCGTTTTTGCTGGTAACGCTGAGATGTTGGCGCATGTGTCTCTAATCTGTATGTATTTGATTATTACTAGTCATAATCGGTTGCACTCGGATCCTTGGCACCTGTGTATGTCTATAAAGTCATCAGGTAGATTTCAACGGTAATGTTTTATCACCTCTACTAATTAACATGTTTTTATGCTTCCTCCTCAAATTCATTTTTTAATTTTTTGTGTGTGTATATCACACAGAATATCCCAAACCATCTTATTTATCTATACACCCACTTCCCAGATGGCACCCTCCCATAGGCTCCCTCCCCCAACTAGAGCCCACTAGATGCCAGTTTACATTGGCCAAGGGTCCACTTTGGAACTTCTGGCTTCAGAGTTCTCTGTAAATATCATTTAGTCATGGGATGAGGAGATGGGCACAGAAACGTCAAGCAATATGCCTGAAGACACACACCAGGAAGCGGCAAAACCAAGCTTTGCATCCAGGGGCTTCTGTGGGGCGGGTTCCTGCTGTGGACAGCCCACTCCTTTCTCCCCCAAGACAACTGATCACAGGGCTTGCTTTTCTTTTTTATATTTTATTATTTTATGTGTACGCCTGTATTGCCTGCATGAATGTAAGTGCACCCGTGTTGTACAATGCCCCAGAGGTCAGAAGAGGGTGTTGGATCCCCTGGATCTGGAGTTAAGGGTGGTTGTTAGCCACCATGTGAGTGCTGGGACCCAAACCTGGGTCCTCTGCAAGTGCGGCCGGTGCTCTTAACCGCTGAGCCATCTCTCCAGCCCCGTGTTTTTACTTTTCTTTCACACATTGGGGCACTAGGAGGAAGTGTCTACTTTTTAACAATACTGCCAAGTGGGAGGGAGGGATGGAGATGGCAGCAAAGATGATTGCAGGGTCTTCAGTGTGAGGGCTTTAGGTAGAACATCGGCCAACAGGAGGCTGGGCTGTGGCCCCCGGGGGCTGCGCTGAGCACTCACTAGCAGTGAGCACACAGAGCATGGGCAGAATGCAGTGCCCTCCTCTTGGGCCCTTTCTGCCTGCCACAGTAGCTCCACACATCACCTTCTGGCCCTGGCTGGGGTTATCCGCGCTATAGCAGGGCTATGCCCAGAATGATGGCTTCACTTCTCTGGCCCCCTCCCCCCGTACACGCATACGTGTGGAGGCCAGAGGTCAACTCCTGTGTCGTTCCTCACATGCCATCCTCCTTGTTTTTTGAAATAGGGTCTTTTCACTGGCCTGACCAACCAGCAAGTCCCAGGGACCCTCCTGTCTTCATGTCCCCAGTACTGGGATTACAAGAGCTTTTGTACACGGGTGCTGGGAATTGAACTTGGGTCCTCATGCTAGCACAGCCAAGCACTTTACAGGCTAAACTTTATGGGCCCCAGCTGTAGAGGACATTTCCTGTCTAAGTGGATCTGAATATCGTGTACTTGAATACAGCAACCCAGGCCTCCATAGCAAATGTGGCGCCTGAGAGTTGGAATACTGTCCTAAGTTTCCCTGTAAACAGCAAGGGGGTGAGTTTATTTTCCAAAAACACTTTGTGCTGTGGAATAAAGTGCTGGAGGAATGCAGGCTGGTGAGGAGGCATCTGAGATTCAGGAGGGAGGCCTAGCCAACGACCTGCTGAGGAGCTGGATGCCCAAGGCCAGCCTGCCGGATCAAGAGTTCTCATCAGAAGCAGGTGGCTGGAGCTGAAGGAGCAAGTCCATGTGCTTGGAGACCCACAGAGGTAGCAATCTGGGAGGCACCTGTACAGAGACCACCTAGGTTATGTGCTCGTAAGACAGGCCTGCTTGCAGGACTCAGCCAGTGCAGCTAGGAGTGCTGGGGGAAGGCTCAGGGAGAGGATTTGCAGGAGCTGAACCCAGCGGAGCAACCCAAGGGCTGCAGCAGCTAGGCAGGGCAGGGCAGCAAGCAGACGTAGCTGGAGTTGGCAGGAGTTGCGGATGAGGACGGTATGGATCACAACAGAAGAGTAAAGGAGAGAGGTAAGCCCCCTCCAAGGGGGGATGTGGCCTTCAGGGATGGGATAGATCTGACTGGGTTTCAGGGCTGGTGTAAGACCAGGGCAGCTCGCACCTCTCCTCTGGCACTTACTAGAGGGAACTCAGCATTATCCTCAGAGCTCTGAGCACAGGGCAGAGGTGGCTGGCAGTCAGGTGAACCAGGCGGTTTTGTCAGAACAATGAGGTGAGGGGCTTTGAACCTGTGTCTTTGAAGCAGGGGCGAGCCAGATGAGAGTGGATGCAAAGGAAGGCTGGACAGTACTGGCCTAGAATGTTGGAGATCTGGTGTGAGGAGGGAAGTGAGGGAGGAGCTAAGGGATGGGGGCTGGGGGGTCAGGGACAGTGTTTAGCACAGTCAAGACCACTTCCCAGGAAGAGTCTCTAGAGGGCAGTATCTATCTTGCAACAGCTTCCACTGGCATTAAAATCAAGCACAGTTGGAAACCCTCCGGTGTTGTGAACCTTTTGTGATCCCCAAAAGTTTCAACATGTCAACCAGGCCGAATGGATGGACAGCAAGGCAAGGGCACAAAGAACCCAGAGGGGCCCCCTAAAGGAAAACTGTTTCTGTAGCTACTGCCAGAGGATGGAAGCCAGGCCGCATGGAGCAGGCTCATGGCTGCACTGAGCCTTCTTAAGAGGCAGCACAACAGAAAGTCTGCGTCTCACCTTTATGACTGAAACTCTAATCAATCCCTGAGACTCACCCCTAGCTGAGGTCGGGGTTCACGTCCACTGAGACGTCACTGGGCACTACCACCTGCACCCACTGTCTGGGCACACACTGGGGACTTGAGTAAGGCTCAAGAATAAAAGCAATCTTTCTCAAGTAATGTATTCCCCTCCCCAAACAGAAACCCGCACTTCAGTCCTTGGTCCCGAGCACTGTCAACTTCAACACTAGTTCCAGGGTTCAGGACAAATGCAGCAGGCACCCGCACTGGAGGGGCCCTTGGAGTGAACGCCCCACAGCCAAGGGCCTTCTGAAGGCAGGACACAGCCCTGGGCGACACATCCACAGCATGTTTCCATTCCAGGAGTCCCTTAGCTTTGGCATTCTGGTCTTGTCTGGAATTTTCTGAGGCCTCTATTGTCATGGACTGGTCTTTTTCTAAGACCAATTCAGACCACCAGAGTAAAAAAAAAACTATTGTGGAAGAGGGGCTGCTTTGTCCACAAGGCCCACAACATGCACTCAAGGCAGTATGCTCCACAGCACACATTCAAGGGGCCGTGCAGCCTGAACAAGTTCTGTCACTTATGCTTACCGACTTCCTATCATCTACAAACTCAAGCTACATTTTAAGGTGCATCATATTTGGCAGTTTGAAATGCGATAGTGTTGACTTAACATGTTTCACTGGATCATCCTAAGTGCACAACACTGTGCAGTCCTCCAGCATCCTCGGACACAGCACCAGCGTGTGACAGTGTCTGCCTCAGCTACATCCCCCTGTGCAGACCTGGCAGAGCCCAGGGCACAACCCTAACAAGACAATGGTAAAATAGCCCACCACCACCTTGGCCACTGGTGCCACCTTGGGACCTGCATTTACCCTTCCAGGATCCTCTCAACCCAGCAGGCAGCCAATGCAGAACAGCCACACCCAGGAGGAAAGCACCTAGGCAACACAAAACTGGTTTCTACAGTTTATTAAAAATCAAAGAATAGAAAAACTTTACATAAAAATATGTCAATTTTAGTGTCCACATTACTGTCCACATAAAATCGAAACATGGTATCTTTTAGTCAAACTGTAGCATGGGGCCACAGTGGTAGCCAGGCCAATTCATCTGGTTCACCATGAACGGGGATGGACCTGTGCCTGTGCCTGTGCCTGTGGATAGAACTTTAAAATGCATACCTGTGGGACACTTGCAGTCCCCACTGTGCTCCCTAACGCAGGTTTACAGTCAATATTGCTAATGTGTAGATTAGTACAGACCTACGGATCAGCGTTCATAAATATTCTTTAGCAACAGGTCGACAATTTAAATATTTTAAATATTTTGGATGATTCCAATCCTCAAGAACTACAGACCCCATGTGCTTCTTTGCTCTGGAATGCTGCCCAGAGTCAAGGGCCCCACGGCAGGGGCCTGACAACAGCGGCCTGCCCTGCTGAGAGAGGCAGGCCCAGGCATGCAGAGCTTGTCCTTGCTGGGTGTCCATCATATTCCAAAATCGATCTACAACTCCCACTGCTGCACATCAATCAGATGTCATGGTAATTAGCTTCTCAGCCTGTCATCCTCCACTAGTGAACTTCAAAGACCAACCTACCTGCAGTGTTTAGTAGGACCAGCACCCCCATTTTAAAATGGAAGTCTGAGGGCCCACAAGATGAAAACAACTCCCAGGACAACTGTGGTGCTCCAGAAACTCGGGGTTAGGCAGGATGGACATATTCTTGTTCAAAAAAAGTAACAAAGACAGTGGTTGTTGTGGCAGAATACACTTGCATAGTATACCTGTATGCTTCCGACGCCGGGCACCAGCCGCTCCTGGGCCCATGCTGGGCTGTGCTCTCCTGTGATACATTAAAATACTCCCCACATGCCCTGAGCAGCGGAGGTACTTTTCAGATATTTGCTCTTAACAGAACGAATGCATACTGCTATGCAGATTCCTCAACGGAATCAACGAAATTCCTTTCTCCACATTCCTAATCTGGGCGCCTCATCTACAATGGCAGTCACCAGGCCCATCGTTCCAAGCCACGTAACTGAGCGGACTGAAGTGTCCAAAGTCACAGTGCATTCCAGATGTGACAATGTGACAACTTCTTCTCCCCTAGAAAGTTTTACTTCTGGCACTTTAAATGCTGGATTTGTTGTCTAGTTTAAAAGAACCCAAACCAAAATGTCAGAACTTGTGGTCAGAGCAGGACAACAGCCTGAGGCCGACAGTCCAAGGCCTGGGAGCTGAATGTCTCGTGAAACCATGGTGACTCGGCTCCTTCACTTGCCTCTGACCAAAAGAAAAGTGAAAATAAAGCCCTCGAGCCCCTCCTCTTATGGTGTCGTAATGAAGCTCATCAGACAACCAGCCAACACGATGAACCCAACTTAGAAAATGCAATTTGGGAAAGGATCTAAGCGTGTTTAAAAAAACTCCCTCCTCCCTTAAATATAACTTATGTGAAAATATGAAATTAAATAAAAAATATCTGAATTATTGCACAAATCATAAGTTTTCAATATTTACATAGAAAACAGTCCCAAAGTTTTCAAACAAGACATGAGGGCAATAAAACAACAGCCTCCACCCTCCCCGCTAAAAAGACAGGAGCAGGGCTCCGCTGCCACGGTGACAGACACCAACGAGAACTCCAAATCGCCACGCGACAAGACATGGCTGCACAACGGCCAAGAGCACGTTCCAGTCCCTGCAGGTCCTGCACCCACCCTGCTGGGCATGGACGAAGACTTCTAGGCAGGCAGACGCACATCCACGTTTAGTAAGGCTTCACAGATGAGCGCGGGGAGCTGTTCTGTAAGATGGATGCGGCCACCACACAAAGAAACATGCAGAGTGACCAGTGGCAGGCGGCACTCGGCAGCCCACGGTGGAGGTGCTGGATGCTGGTCTCGGCTCCCCTGCGGCCTCTGGGCAGTCTGGGGTGGTACGGCCAGGAGCCATTATCTGCTGAGACTCACAGGCAGGCTGTCCCTCGTGTGTGCGTGCTTTTTCCTCCTCCAGCCAGTGCGGTTGTACTGGTGGTGTCCCCGGTTGCCCACGGGGGGCCGCACACCTCCATTGCCCACAGAGCTATAGCTGCCACCCTGGGCATGGCTGTGGGAGCCTTTCATGGACAGTTTCATGCCATTGTGCTGCTGGAGAGACACAAAAAGAAAGGGTTGGAGCACAGTGTGAGGCTGCCGCCATTACGACCTCCAGGAGGGCACTACTGAGCTAGGCAACACCCAGGACTCAAGCAGTGAGCTCAAGAGGCTCCGAGCTGCACTCATCCCCACTGGCAGATATCAAGGCCAAGGGACAGATGTGCACAGCTAACATGTATCAGGTCATCGCTGGCCAGGCACCTAGAAGCTGTCCTGTAGGCAGGAGAGAAACCAGCACTCTGACAGTTCTGGGACAAGATCACCATTTCCATTCCGCATCAACTGCAGATTCATTCAGCTCTCCCTTCCGACCTCCTTTGTTTGTGCACTGGGATGAGAAGGTCCCTGAGAAGCCACTCATCTGTAGCCTAGAGCCACACAAGTGACTCATACACACCCCACCTAGTCCCCGGCATCTTTACCTGCAGCAGCGTGGGTTGGGGCTGTTTCCAAAGTAATGACAAAGTGGACCAAGAGAAAACACAAACTGGCTTCAGGAAGAGAGAAAACAAACCCAACATGTGGAGGGGGAAGCAGAAGTAGCCATACAAGGCCGCTTTCCCTGGTCAACGCTGTCCTTTCATCCTGCTCCTGCCGGGTCTGCACAGCAGGGTAACAAGGCACCACTGCTACAACTTAAGTCCCCGCAGGGTGTTCTACCACCTCAGTAAAACCAGCAACCAGGAATTAGTGACAGGGCACAGAACCACCCCCAAGAATAAAAACTACACTGGCTGTCCTGGCACGCCGTGGTGAGGTGAGCGACAAGTGGGAACTTCAGCAACACCAAACCTCACAAGGAATTGCTATGGAAGCCTTGGATCACAGTCCTCTACACAGGCAGGCATGGGGAATTAAAGACAAACTTCCCCTAGAGGGTAGAGAAACGCCTCGAGGCACAAAGAAGCCCCAGGGCTACTGAGAGCTGGGAGGACAGACACAGGTGTCACACGCACAGCTCCACCCACTGCTGAGGGGCCGGCAACCAGCAGCATGGCAGACAGGGCAGGCGTGTGGCAAGAGAGGTGCTTGGCTTTCTCTTTTGCCGCTTAGAAACCAGAGTATGTGGCATACAGTGAACTTAAATGAACTGGAAAACAAAGTCAGTCTTCATTGTGATCCCTGCTGTTTCAAATTTTAGTTCAACCAAGTGTTAATACATGTTTTGTGTGACTTATTACATTTCAAAATAAGTAAACATTTTAAAGTTTTGTTTAGAAAAGAAAGCAAGCATGAATCTGAATAATGACAAAACAAATTCCCTTTTAAAATAAATTCTTCAGCACTGAGTAGGCAGAACAGCAAGCACAGTGGGCAGCACACACCTTGTGGTAGAGATGAGGACTGGGCAGCGGGTTGGGGGATGCTGAGGGGATGGCTGGGGAGGTCACATGGTGAACGGCCTTCAAAGAGGTGGTTCCTTCAACACCAGCCTGTCTGCAAGGAACAGGGGCCACTCCAAGGGTTGGTGGAGGGATGGTGAACCTGGTCTAGAAGAAATCAGAAACATCCATAGCCTCCCACAAGTGAAAGCACTCTGAGCTGAAGCTCCATAAAGCACTTGTGTTCTCTTATAAACTAACACTGCCTTCAAATGGTAAATACCTTATTTTCTGAAACAGAAGTTATAATATATGAAGTTATGCCCAGTACTAAGTCATAAAGTTCTAAAACTCTCTGAAAACCAAGTCACAATTCAAAATCATCAGAGCTGTCAGAACGGCAGCTGTCACTTAGATCTGGAATGAGTCCCAGGGTAGGCAGAGCCCCTCCAACCCCAACTTGAACAAAGGGACCACAGGAAGGGATCAAAGAGAGCAGGTGCAGCTCTTTCAGGGCCCCCCAGTCTAGCTTCTGCCTGACGGCCCCACCCACACAGCAGGGGGATGCAAGTTAAGAGCCCAACTCAGCCTAGAGGCAATGCTCCCAACCCATGGGGACATCACTGCCTTTGCCCCGAAAACCTCCAGAGGGAGTGGATGAGAAGAGTTCCAGGAATGGAGCCCAGCAGCAGGCGGGACAGCAGAGTTTGGCTACACTTTGCTGAAAGCCCACGTACAAATCTGATACCAGCACCCTGGTATCACACCTAGACTCTTCCTCTGTGGGGTTCCACTCTCCAGGGAAGTATATCACAGGAAAGTAAGCTCAGTTCCCATAGTCTCCTACAGATTGATGTGCGCTGATGACCTCCAAATCCATTCCTGTCAAACTTAGAAATCCTGTCCCAAATGGGTGAACATCATTTTGTTAGGCTGCACAGGACAGATGGGACCAATATTTTAGGTTGGGATTTAGACTGTCCTATTGGAAGTAAAATAAGAAAGCAGTTTCAGCCTTGTCTGAAAACTTGAGCCTGGTTCACCACTGACATACAGACCTGCAAACAAAGGACAAACTGGGACACCATACCTACATTTCCTTAGATACAACAGATACAAAACACCCCTGGGCAAGGACCACACAAGCATCACTGGCAGGAAGCTGAAGCCGGTCCAGCACTAGGCTCTCAGAGATACTGTGTCTGAGGAGTTAAACATCTCCAAAGTGGGAGGCCAGGGCCACTGTTCTGACCAAAAGACAATCAAGTCTAAATGGGACAGAATTGAATAGCTTAAACAACTGTTTCAGAATGTACTAGTCTGGGCTACACTGTTTTGGATGAATGTGTCAAATGCTCACCAGCACTGTAGTCATGGAGATGGGCCTAAGCAGCTTCAGGACCCAGAATATCTCAGTAGGAATGGATTTCCAACTGAGCCAAACTACCCCAAGAAAAACCTGTATGTTTCTTTATTGTTTCACGGAAGAAAAAGGAACAAACAAAAAAACCCTCCATTTCCAAAGCTGTTCTTACTTTCAAGTAAATGTTTTGAGTTTACACAAATTCAATTGGGATGTATATACAAAACTTAATATTATAGATTTTATCTAAATGTTGAAGAAAGAAAAAGTCCCCAGATAAGGCCCAATCAACAGCACCAAAGTCCAAGCCCATACTAACACTTTGAAAGTCTACTCACTGAGTTTCTAAGAGCCAAGGAGGACCAAATGTCTGCTACAGCCTCCTCACGGAGCAAACCAACCCTAAGGGGTGCTCTGCCAAAGGTCAGCCTCTTCTTACAGCATCATCAAAACTGCACTCTACCCATCAAACATAAAAATTCCACAAGACATGACCGTTTGGCCTATCAAAGACTCAACATGGTCTTTAATTCAAAATCAACAGTGCTCTGCTCTGCTGTACTGCTTGGAGCTGATGCTATCCCCTGGGGCTATCTCTAGGAAGGGAGCCCTGTACCTGATTGTTTGTTGTCATGATCAGCGTTCTGGAAGCAGCAGGCTGAGGTTTGCCACTGGGCAGCGGCAAGGCTGCAGGCAGGCTGGCCATGAGGGCGGTGGGTGCTTGTAGGCTGAACTGATAAACACTGGGCGTGGTGCAGGGTGGTGTGTCCGAGTCCTGGGGTCCAACACAAAAAGACAAGAACCACAACCAGCAGTAAGTAATGCTTGCGAGGGCTGGGTCAGGGCAGGGTGGCTGTGAAGAGGCACTACAGGAAAAGTCACTAGAGCAACCCTAGCTTCTGAGCAGCAGGTGGTCCCAACCTACCCATCTTTTCAGAGCATTCTCCAAACAGAGACCAGGCTACAGAAACACAGATGAGACTTGTGGGCTTAACTTGGCAAATCTCCAAATAGGTTTTCAAAAAACTACCCAAGAAATTCCATGGCTCCACTGAATGCTATCACTGCCTCTGCCACTGTGAGCAATGTAGCCTGGGGGCGTGTGGCCTGTGTCAGAGAACACCCATCATAGATTTTGGGGCGCACACACACACACACACACACCAGCAAGGAACTGAGCTGAGCTGGAGAAGCAGGTCCTATGCTCAGAGAAAACTATGAGGAACACCAACCACCCAACACAAAGGGGAGGAGACAGTAGAGAGCAAAAGTCACTTACAATATCACTTCCAGAAAGTGAGGACACAGAAGAGGCAGAAGAACCTGAAGACAGGAGCTGCGGACTGGACAGAGACAAAGTCAGGCGCTGGCTGTAGGGCGAGCCGGGCTCTCGGCTCTGCACCTGTTCCCCATTGCACACCGTGATCCGCTCCTTTATCTTGATCCTGTTGTCTGGGGTGGGAAAGCAAAACCTGCCTTACTGAGGAGTGCAGTGTTCACTGCCAACCTGGGGCGGCTCAGTTCTGAAATGCTGTCTAAGACCAACACACCAAATTTGAAATCTGAAGTAATATAACTTCAGAAAGTGCAGCAGTCGTGATAACACATTAAAACATCTGCACAACACGTGAATTTGTCAATCTTCATCTGAAGCTTTTATAAACTATAAATCAAGCACTTCTGATAAAAATTTAGCACATTAAAATATAAACACTGGATTTCAAAACTCTGGAACAAAAATACAAAATATCGCAATTATTTCTTGCATGTTACAACGCTAATATACTGGGTGGATAAAATAGAATATTAATTATTAATTTCATCCGTTTCTGCCCACTTTTCTAATACAGCCACTACAAACTAAAATTCCGTATGTAGACCATTACATGTCTACTGGGTAGTGCTGGTCCAGAACTTACAGACTTATCAGCCATCAGAAAAGGCAGCTACTTTCTTGGTATAAATGAGGACTGTGCCTCAATGTGACAGAAGACTAAGCCCACTGCATACGCCTCTCACCCAGGTCTGGCGATGGAAGGATTCTGCTGCCCCACTTCTCTTTGATCCACCTCCGGTAGTCGATCACTTCCTGAGTGACTTTGATGATTCTTCCTAAAGTACTGCAAAGAACAAGGTTGGACAGACATAGGCCAATAGGTGAGGCTGCTTGGTACTTGTAAGAACACATCATCTCATTAAGGACAAACAAGCTCTACAGAATATCCTTGAGTTATGAGATCACAGTATGGAAAAAGGAGGCTCACTGTGTGTAAATGTGACTCGTTCTTCTGTAGGGGAGCCCAGCTCTCCCACTCACAGGGACTTTTGTTCTCACACTTCATCTCCCACTACACAGATGAAAATAGAGACCCCAATTTCCTATCACAGGGCTCAAGGTCAGCCTGAAGACACTATGTGTGGACAACCCATATAACTCCACAGCCCTGAGCACCACCACTGTGGGGAGAGGTTTCTGACACAGGTCTCCCAAGTCTTTTCTTTCCCCACAGTCTACCCAGGAACAGATAAAACGTACTGCTGGCCCCTAGGCCCCATAGTCCTTTCTTCCCTCCCACTCCCATCTCTTCTCCTGCCACCCCATAGCGCACACACGAACCACAGCAGCCACCCTGGGGTCAGAGATAAACCCTTCTGTCTACCAATACATTGCAAACATTTCACGATGTGGACTGACAGCAACTAGCCATGAGGGAGCAGGGGCAGAACAGTCCTCAGATCTGAACTCACTCACCAGCAGAGCATTCACATCTCAAGGAGGACAACACTAACCCAAAGCTTTAAAGCCTGTAACCTGGAGTTTCTCCACTATGACACAGGCTATAGTCCTACCTCCTCCCCATGCTCTGCAGGAGTCAAGCAGCTGGAACCCATCACCTCTCCCACCCAATAGTTGACCTTAGCTGAATGAAGGGGCAGAGCCATTGCCACATTGAGCACAGGGAACAGAGCCCGCAGGTAGTCGCATACAAAGAGCTGGGGAGATGGAGGGTGGGTCATGCTGATGGTGGTTATTTCATGCCTTTGTAAGTCACCCCATCTCGGATGTCATAAACTATGCAAAACCCACATTGAATGTGTTATGTTGGTTTTGTCAATCTGTGTTAGGACCACAAGACCCTGAGGGAGCATGGGTCTCTCAGCAGAGTGGGAAAAATTTAGTGCAAACCAAGCCAAATGTCCCCTCCTAAAGACACCCAGAAGAAAATTACTCCCCCCAATTAAGACATGCTCAACCATGAACCACAATGACCCAAATAAAGCCATCCTGAAGTCCTGAAAAGTCTTTCTTATAACCACATGCAAGGTCCACCCAACATGACAAGGTGTCATTAATACACTCTCCAGAAGCACAGGGAGAGGAGAGGTGCACTGCCCCTCCACAGGAGAGGTGAGCCCAGGGCCCAAACGCTACAACTCTTACCTTTCAGAATCCCTGTTGGGATAAGACCTGGCCAGCGGTGACACAGCATGGCTGAGCACAATGTAGGCATAGTCAAACACCTGCTTCACTTGCATGGCCCCATAGGAGCTCCGCCCAACGTCGTTTCCTGCAACAGAAAGGCAGCTAGCAAACTGTGGCAGGCCTGAGCCATCATCCAGATGTCTCTGACCCCCTCACACAAGGTGCTGTGAAAGGGCCTTACCACTAAAATGCTTCCCAACCCAACCAGCTAACATGAAAGGCATGTATAAAATCAGCACTGTGAGTCACTGCTAATTGTAGCACACAGCTCAGTGTGCATCAGACTCCACAGGACCAGAGTCTATAACCACCAACAGGAAGGTGGCAGTCACGGGTGGCATGACAGTTCATGAAGTCCTACTAAGTCTCCAGGTAGCAAACAAAACACACAAAAGGAAAGGCAGCCCCAACTCTGACCAGCAGTGCTGCCCCGTTGTTCAATGACCCCAGACAGTAGGTAAAGTAGGCAGTCTGCCCTGAACACTGTAACAGAGCCAGCAGGAAGTGAGCCCTCTACAGGTGAGACACTGCAGGTCTAAGTGCTGAGGTGCAAAAGCCAGACGCAGAGCAAGCCAATGAGGCCGTCACTAGTCGTCCAGCCCGAAAGGGGGTCTAATTCTATACACAACTCAGTCCTTGCAAGTCAGCTGAGCCGTACGAGAATTTCATCATTCCTAAATACATCTGTAGCCAGTGGGCACACAGAGACACTGAAGCAGACAGACGCTTGAAGACAAAGGAGGTCTCCAGCCTAACAGTCCAAAAGACACTCAGGGAGGGGACACATTGCCCCTGCCAGGAAAACCTCACCTCCCCGTCTACATATGGGATGGATAAACCATGTCACTTAAAGACAGCAAAACAGACCTGACAGTGCATTTTCTATGGACAGATTTCTTTAGGACATTTATCTCATCCCAGAAGCCATAAAACAGCATCAAAAATAATCGTCACATTTGAGGATAGTAAAATTTAAAAAGTACAAGAGCTGAGAGTACAGTGCGTGACGAGGTTTCCCTGACCACGTGACCAGAGAAAAGTCCAGCAGACAGGACAGAGTGCACGGAAGCCTTTGAGGACAGAGTACAAAGCAGCAGGGTACCTGGAGCTCGGCACCTCTACCACCCTTCTGTCACATGTCCACCACTGATCATCAACAACAGCAAGAACAGGATCTCATCTAACAGATGCTCAATAAACAACTGTGAAAGTGATAACGATGTGTTTCGCTCCAGTTATCATGAAAAGAATGTAAACTTTAAAAGTACACCAATTTTATCAGTTTGGTGAAGATCTCAAGGTTGGTTGTTGCTGTGGTTTGAAGATCTACGCATCCTTACAGTGGGAATAACACTGACACCCAAAGCACAGCGTCAGCTCTTCAACAAGACATCCTTACAATGAACGCCACATGTACGGCCTCCAAGACTGGCTCCAAAGATGGATGACTGTTAAGTCGAAGCTGCAAATCTCTTGGTGTTATGACAGAGATGCCAACTCATTAACAAGATATGAGCATTAGAAACAACAAAGAAAATCTCGCACACACCAGGATGGAAGGACTTGGCACACTTCACTGTCAGTTCTGTGCTTCTTTCTGGGAAGCCAATGGTTTACAGTGAGTGTATATTAAACTTTCTTCCTTAATTAGGGTTTTTAAATGCAAACACTTTAAAATAACCTAAATGGGGGCTGGAGAGATGGCTCAGCGGTTAAGAACACTGACTGTTCTTGCAGAGGACCTAGGTTCGATTCCCAGCATCCACATGGCAGCTAACAACTGTCCAAAACTCCAGTTTCAGGGGATCAGACACCCTCTTTTGACCTCCGCAGACATTGCACGACATGCATGCATGCAGTATGCTCATACACCCAAAATAAAATAAAAATATTAAAAATAATATTACTGGACCCGCCTCAGGCCTCTCTCCTACCCACAGGCCTCTCTCCGGGTAAGTCCATTGCGCCCTCCTCACCTTGACTCCCCCAGCCTCATTCACCCTCCCATCTCCCATCTCCCCCACCCCCCCACCCCTGTTCTCTACTCCTAGTTTGGGTCCTGCCCATTCCTTGTCTTAGGGATCCAGACACCTGGGGAACCAATTCTGCTTCCTGATCCTTTTCATCCAGACCGATGTAGTGCCTTCTCTGGGCCCCAAGAGCACTGCTTCTGGGCCTGGCCCCGCCCTCACCTCCCTCTGCTTCCCTGGGCCTGCACCACCCAACCGCCTCTTTCTGGGACAAAGGGGCTGACCTTTCCTCTTCCTATCCTTTGCATCAGGACCAACCCAGCTCCTCAGTGCAGTCCCCAGGAGTCCTGGGGGCCTCTTCCCGCCACATATGCCTTTACATCTCTGGGTGGAATGGCCACCACCTGCCCTAGACCACCATCTCTCCTGGGCCAGGCTCCCAGGCCAGTCCAACCCCCAAATTCCTGAGGCCAAACTCCTTCCTGGAGGGATCCAGACCTTGGGAGAAAGGCTGAAAACACCTGACCCTCACCTGAATTGGGCCTCTGTGGGAACTAACGAAGAAATAAGTAATCTGACCACTCCAATATAAAATCAAGAGAACCGGAAGCTTAGACTAACAAGCTTTAAATGCCCAAAAAGTAAATCACAAAGACACGTAAAGTTCACAAAAAGAAGCAGACCTAAACTTGAAGGCCTGAGTCTGACACAAGAATCAGAAACTACCAAAGAAATTCACATGTCAAAATTACAGAGAAAAAATAATAACATGAAAAACCAAAATAACATATCCCCACCAAATACCAACAGTCCTCTAGAGC